TTTTAAAATATTTTATTTAATAATCTATATTATATTTATAATAATAAAAATTATGACATATAATAAATTAAATCAATCACTAATTACTTTGATTTTGTTAAATTTTTTAAAAATAATGTAATTTAAAAAATTTGATTTAAGTATTACATTCTTTTTGATTACTACTATATATATTTATATAATATTAATCTTTTCTATTACTATTAAATTTATAATCTTCTAGTTATATAATGTAAAATATCAAAAAAATTTATATAAAAGATTCAAAATATAATAAAATAATTAACTTTAGATTCATATAGAAAAATAAGTTAAAAACAGATAAGAGATTATTATGATTAAAACTTAATCTTTATTATGATAGTTATCATTATTATTAAAATTATAGAACAGATACAGTATCTTTAAATAATAAATTATGATTATATAAAATTAATAAAAAATTAATAATATATAATACTTATATAATAGTACCTTTGAAAGATGTTTATTAATATATAAATATAGAAAATAAATAATTATAAATGATGAAAAGAAAAAGATAATATATTAATTATATTAGTAGAATAAAAAAGAAAAGAAATTTTGCTAAGAAACTTTCTATAGTTAAAATAACTTAATTATATTATATAACTTTTCTTGATAAAATAAGATAATTATAATATAATAAGTTATATATGATATAATATATAATATAGTAAAGATTTATAAGATAAAGTATAATTTTATTATATAATTATATTAATATCATAAGAAGTAAACTAATTTTATTAATTAAATATATATTTATATCACTCTTTAAAATAAAAAAATTTAATTAAATTGATATAATTAGATTGATTAATCAGATTTTTTATTATTAATATGTAATATTTATTATATTAAATATATTTTTAATAAAACTAATATATAATACTTTTTAATTAACATTCATTATAGATTTTATCATGAGATTACTAATAAAATTTAGTATATTAAGTAATATCTGTTATATTATATATTAAAAATTTAATTTGATATATATAATTTAATATAAATTAATAATTATAATAACATCTTTTTTTTATTAAATATATAATTTTACTTTATAAATTCTGATAAATTTTATAATAGTGATCAAAAGTAATATATTAGAGGCTAAATTTATTAATAAAATATAGTGAAATTAAAATTTACTCTCTATATTAAAATTATAATTTATTAAGAAATAATTTATCAAAATAAAGTTTATTAGTTATAGTTTAATATATTTTTTTCAGATTTTTTCTGAAAGAATTATTCTAATTATAAAGTCAATGCAAAAATTTTTATTAATTAAATTTTATTTTTAATTAGTAAAATTTTTGCATTAACTTTACAATTAGAACAACTCTTTCAGAAAAAATCTAAGAAATCTGAAAAAAATATATGTTAAATTACAACTAATAAACTTTATTTTAATATAAAAATAAAAATTATTTCTTGATAAATTTATAAATTTTAATATAGAGAGAAAGTTTTGATTTTCACTATGTTTTATTAATAAATTTAGCCCCTGATGCATTATGTTTGACCGCCATTGCATATAGATAAAAATATCTTTTAATAAATATTAATATAAAATAAAATTCAGTATAATTTTTATACAAAAAAATTTATTTTAAAATACACACCCCCACAATATATTACCGGAAATAACAAAAATAAAACTATCATTTTGTAATCTAATATATCAAAATCCAGTGATCCCATTTAAATGAAGATATTACCATAAGATTTGTGAAGTCGGAACAAATTTAATGGGAGTATTTTCATCGCAGATTTGTTTTCGGAATTTCCGGTAATATATTGTAGGGGTGTGTATATCTAACTAGGATAATAATTAAGATGTCACATTTCCTTTTATATCAATCCAATTTGATATGTTAAAAAATACCACATGTAATATAAAGGGGTGTGGAATTAAAATCCACAGAACGGGGGCACCAAAAATATGTTACGGCAATTCTGAATAGTGGATTTCACTGAGAATCGCTAAAAACATAATGTTATAAGTGAATCTTGATATAGTAAAGATATTCATAATTTACATGTGCATGTATATCGAGGGGATGATGTAGTTAGTTTTTACTATGACGAGATTCACTTGTATTTTCAAATTTTCTTTTCGCAATTTTTAGTTATAATATTGCTGTATTGTTTCTAATACAATTCTTTAAAGTTGAACATTTTTAACTAATGGTGACTTGGTAAAATTTTGCATAATCGCGAGTCAAAGTGACACTTTTCGTGATCAAAATTATCAAAATTATGCCCAGACCGGGATATGCATTGTGCTTTTCAATGGCTGGAGATACATTACGAAATAGCGTGGCATGTATTTTTCACACCAGTCTTTTTTTCCGTGACTGTAACCATATTATAATTTCTTTGAAACACAATATGTAGAATATTGCCAATTGTTTAAGCCAAGTTTGTTCACGTTCATGTACTTTGATAATCTTTCTCAATCGAGACATCGATATAATTGTAATTATAACAGATGTGTGTTTATCTTTTAGTTGGTGTTCAGATCCGAGTCAGCTTATTAAAAGTCAAGTCAGAATTTTTTTTAACTCGGAGAATTAAGTTCGAATATTAGGTTAAAAATTCTGAATTGACTCCTCAAGTCAGTTGACTCGCTATCCTTTGGTTATGTTGACTGAAGAATAAAGGTTTACCAAAAAACCATGTTTTCTCCCGTGTCAGTTATGAAATTTTGCGTTATTATACTAAGTTTGGTAAATTTCCACCGACTAGCTACTTCGCCCCTACTAACAACACAAAACTCATTGTTTATATAATAAAATCACAAATGAGCACGCGTTTCATAGATGAAAATTTTCTCACATCAAAAAATTTTCCCAAGGATTGTTTGATAATAAATGTTTATGCTTACTTGTATATAAAGAGAATCTGTTCACCCCTTTCAAACAACGAATTCTTTCAGTAATAACTTTTATTCACATAAAACGCAAAAGAAAAATTAGTAAAAATGTATTGTATCGTTGATTTCAGTATTATTCCTATTGGCGTAGAACCTAGTCTCTCAAAGGTATTGACCAAATAATTTTCATAGATTTGGCTAACGTAAAGTATATCTTTATGAATACTAATAAATGATTTTTATGTATTAGTACATTGCCGAAACTCTAAAAATCTTGGATAAAGCTGGGTAAGTAGTTTTTTACAACATATAATTATATTAAATAACCTCCTTAATATTTTTTTATCTAGGTTAACCTATAAACTTCACGCAAAGGGAACAAATATCGGTACATTTTCGTCTTTATTATTATCTTTTTTTAAATGGATACTGCAAATAATAAACGATATTCAAATGATATGATACAGAGGGAGAGTTGGGTGAAGTGATGGCAATAATTGAAAAATGCATTTCTCGTTTGCACGAAATTGGTGTGCCTCGAGTTGATACTATGATTCATGTTGGGGTAATAATTCTATTATTTTAATGACTTATCAATCTTATCTATTGAATAATTATGTAACAATAATAATGATGATTATGATAATAGACGCGTATCGATAAGAAAACAACGATCGAATACAGGTAATATAATTGATATTCGAATCGTATCTTACATGTATTATTAAATTCACATTTCTGCCGTAACTTCTCTTTTAGTATTCAAACTGCTAAGGAAAAAGTTCAAGCTTCCTTGTAATAATAGTCATATATACATATATAATGTAGTTGGCAGGCTTTGTTTATGTTGTTAGTTTATATAATTCTTATGTAAAAATGTAAAAAGTTTTACGTTCATCAATTAAAGAACTTGTTAATATTTTTCCGCGTAAATTTTTTGTCCGACCACAACAAAACTCTCAATTTGTTCTGTTTTTTACGCGTAACGTTAAAGAAATGATTATTTATTAATTATTATTATTATAAAGTAATAATAACCGATTTATGAATAATATATACAACGTCATTAACTATAAACGGTTTATTATCTTTTTTGATTTAGTGCAAGAAGAGCCCTAGAAAAAATATGAAAGAGAAGACAAGTTAGCTAAATTTATGAGGAAACAGGAATAAAAAAATGCATACTCCAAAGTTAACCGTTCTTTGAGTGCAATCTCTTGGCGTTCTCTCTCGATCTCTTCAAATTTGGAAATAGTGCTATTTGATATATGATGACGTAAGACAAAAAAATATTCCGAATAAACTCGATAATGTGCTTTTTCAGTGACTTACTTTGCCATATAGAAAGCCTCAAGAGTCGCGACTGCATCTTGTTCTGCTTTTTTTGCACGATCAACGCATGTCTCGTGGGTTATGACAGTCTTTTTCTTCTGAGAATACGAATTCTTTGTTGAATTCGCGTTATCATAATGTTTGCTAGGTTAGATAAAATAAATAAATTAAAAACTAAATTAATTAAACCTGATAAAAAATAATAGGAAAGAAAATATATATTAAACATGTATATACATTATTCGCTCAACTATAGTGTTTTTATTGCCATAAGAGGCAACTCCAAGTTTTCGCGCAATTTCTACACGAAAAACAAGAAATTTATTGTTCCACTGTTATTCGAAATAAGAGATTTGGTATAAAAGCCAACGTAATTTACCAATGATTTCCAATTTTTTTTTGTTGATTAATTCTAAAAACGAATATCTTCTTACGTTGATGTTAATGTTGTTAAGAAGGTTTCTCTTTGTGGCGGATATTTTCGTCATTACGTCTAACTACGTATTTGGAAGTCGTGTTTCTTGCGTGTTATTTTCCTTTAATATGTTTATATCTATATCTCACCTATATAATAATTATTATTTATTCTTTTAATTTTTGACTTTTTTTTCTTCCAGATACATATTTGTTGTATGCTATTTTTATGTGTCATCAAAAAAAAAGGGCGATAGACAACGGAACGGTACAAAAAGAAACTCACCAAGAGAAAAAAATTTCGAATCAAGTATGTTATTGTGTGTGTTGATGAAAAACGAAAAAAATGATTTTTATCCCATTACAATACCTCATGTATTATTGATGATTGGCTGGATTTGATGATTGATACGATTTTTGGATAAATAACATGACATTAGAGGGGAAAATTTTTTACCGGTGATGGTCATGTGATTTACGAAACTCCATAATTCGTAATTTCGTTAATCACCAACACATTGACACAGGAAACAAAAAACTTGCATTTCTTTTTGAATGCTCGTAATATTACGAATTGAGACAAGGTAAATGTTATCGTTATTAAGATGCGTTTTTTAAGCTGAACCAAAAAATGTAATACATTCGTTTTAACTGCTTTATTAAACGTGGCATTTAAGTACTATTACAGTTCTGGCGGAAAGAAATGGTGGTTAAATTTATTTAAAAACAAAATTGGTTACATAATGATTTCATTTAAACTTTTATTTTATGATATATATAAGTAAACCTTTATATTTTAAGATATTAATGTTTAATCTAATTTTATTCGTTTTTTATTAATATTAATTCAATAATTTTATTTTTTAAATTTGAAAAATTAATTTTTTTATTTATGCATTTATTTTTATGCCTTAAGATGTATACAATAATACTTTGAAAATAACTATAATTATATCAATTATATCAGCTGAACAACTTAATTAATGATTACAACAGATTTCTTAATGTTAAACATCTTTTTGTAAATATTCAACCTTTAAAATCTCAAAAATTACCTTAGGAAACAGGTATTTTGGTATTAATATTATTCAACCGATCAATTTACATTTATAAAAAATTAAGTATTTTCTGTGATTTTTAATATTATCCTGCTCAACTTATTGTGGCGTCAGAAACTGAAATTCATGTGATTTTTATTATATGTATATAACTCTAATCATTAACCATAGAATTTATCGTTATTGGGAAATCGTTATCGTTGATCATACATGTAATTAATTATAAATTTCAGCATCAGCCACCAGTTTTACGTCCGAAATGATCAGCATGATACCCATCTGGATATTGTGTCCCGAATATTAATATAATAAAGTTTTATTGAATCTAGTAAAAGTAGAGCTGTCAAAAGCAATTTCAACTGTTTTAACTCTACGAGGCATGTTATCAGCTAATTTATTTAAAGTTTCAGACTCAATTAAAGAAAAAGATTCAATATATTTTCTTTTTTTAC